AGTCTCTGGTCCAACGCTTTCAAAACACCCGTGCCAGGTAGTTCGCATGCTTCCAACCCGAGGTATAGCAGCCACTAAAAGTTTTGGAATATCTAGACCATCATTGGACCTCAATAGCAAAAGGTCACTCGGAGTTAGCTCCAGTAGGCACGGCTTCTCTGATCTGAAATTACTGGTGACCTCAGTTCCCAGGTTCCTCGTTTCCTCACTATTTTGGAGTTCCACTGGCTTCTCAGTTTTAATCCATCGCTCCGAGCTTGTGCCTCCAGTCTGTGTGAGCTGTCTACACTTGGCCACGTTGAGCGGTAGCTCCCAGTTTTCAGTCCAGTTTAGGGGTGTGTGCAAATCCCCCTGCATGGACTGATTTGAGGGGGAGCCTACCAGTTTCAAGTCGTCAGTGAACATGAATGCTGGGTTCTCCAACCCCTCCGGCAGGTCGTTTACATAGGCTAGGAATAAGAGAGGGCCTAAAACTGATCCTTGTGGAACTCAACTTACTATCCTGCATTCCCTCGGTTTGGACCCTTCTATATTTACATGGAAAGACCTTCCCTTCAGGAAGTCTTCCGTCCATGCAACCAGTTGTGGGTGGATTTTAAAGGTCCCAAATTTCAGGAGCATTAGCTTGTGGTTTACTGAATCGAAGGTTTTTTGAAGGTCCAAGTATCAGACCTCCACCCCCTCCTTTCTATCCAGCCTGTTGGTGATGTCATCTAGAAACACCAGTAGATTCGTGAGACAAGATCTCCTCTTCACAAATCCATGCATGCTGGCTGTTAGCAGATGGTGGCGTGCAACATGAGCCACCACCTTGTTCCTCAGTAGCCTATCTAGTATCCTTAGTGGTACTGAGGTTAAGCTAACCGGCCGATATTTTGCTACTTGGTTCTTGTCCCCTCCTTTGCGTATGGGGACAACCTTCTCCACCTTCCAATCTCCTGGAAGCCACCCTTTCTGAAGGAATTTGTGAAACAACTTTGCTAGCGGTGCTGCAAGCACCCCAGCCAGTGGTTTCAGGAGGGCCGGATTGATGTCATCGGGTCGCGCTGCCTTGGT